TCCTTTTTATTTTGAGGTGGGGAGTTTTGACAAACCGATAATCCAGTTCTTCTGGAAGAATAAATGTACAAGAATATCAAGACAACCGTGCATAAGGCCTATATGGAGTGGAAGGTGGTTTGTCTGTAAAATGACTCCAACACATGAAAATAAAGTGTTTCTTCCAATATAAGGATATAAGCACAGGGACAAATATACCACTGGGACATAACAGAGTCCAGAATTCAACTGTGTGAGAGTCTACAGACACATGGGGACTTAACGTATAACAAAGGACTGGAAAATGACTCCTTATTTAAATACAAACTAGGAACTTTCTTACAACTACATGGCAAAGGGTAACTTTAACAAAAAGGCCATGACAGGACCGCTGACACTGCAGTGTTTGGTTACTCAAGCATGCATTTCTAGAATTAGAGTTGGCCTTTGACGTTAGGAAAGGCCAATATAACCACTGCTGGCACGGAGCATCCCCTAAGAAATTAGGTATTTCAACTACACATTTCTGGAAAGCTAAGGCCACTAGGGCCAATGACAAACATATTTTGTTCTAAGTAAGTTACTGCACCCAAAAAATCAGCATCCCTCCTGAGTTTTCATTAAACAAGGAATGAAAACAAAGTATTTAGCAAAATGTTACATAACCATTAAGTCGTGTTGTCAAGAAATGTTACAGCTTTATTTTCTGATTATAAAAATAAAACACAGCACTACATTCAGGTATTGCAAAACATTCACCATAGAAACTGCAAGCCACACCTACTGATTAAGTTTGTTGCTGTTAATAAATCTTAAAATCTATACATATGTTGTTCTTACTGCAAATATTCCCATTTATGTGTACACAGAGAATGATAGTGTCCACACAATGGAATATAATGCAATTTTCAGAAAGCAAAGCTATAGATGGAGACCTTGAGTGTGAAATGTTTGATAAATGGCATGATCTCATGTATGTAAAAAATAGTTAAACATATGGTAGTACATACAAACTAAACTACATACAAACTAAACTGGAAGAAAACTCACATACACTTGTACTAAGACTATTTATGAAATAGGGGAAGTCTATCAGAATAAATGATTAATAATAACAAGTCTCTGTTTCTTTTTCCATCTCTATTTAAAATGTTATTTTAATTTCCCAATCAGGAAAAAAACTAAATATAAAAATGAAGTAAATTCAATGACTGTTTCCTAGGGGGTTTGTTTTCCTTCCTGCCCAGCTTGTTGCAGCACATCAGGCCCTCCCTTTTCCCTGCTGGGGTCCCCATAATACAATCTCCCTCTGACCCTTGAGCACTCCCACCGAGGGTACCCTGTGGTCACCATCTGTACCTCCCCTCTCCAGTGACTGTACCATGGAGGGGCTAGTAGGCATTAGGCTCCACACCCAAATCCTCACTTCACTGACAGCTGTCTAGCCATCGTATGGCTCAAGACTGAACTCTGGCCACAGGGCAAATCCATCTCCTTCCTGACTTGAAGGTGGGCTCCCACACACCCCTCATTACTAAAGCTTCCACATCTCCCTCTGCTCTCTCTTCAGAGCAGGACTCAGTGTTAAGTAGTAGCCAACTGCAGTTAGCAGCACACAAGGGCTAGCTGACACTGGGCCAGGGGACAAAGAAAGGTCACCAACTTCAAGGGGAGGGAGGAGAGGCGCCAAGTGATGGGGCCACTGATAAAGGATCCCTTACACAGCCAGGCAGGAAGAGTGCTTCTGGGAATCTGGCATTCTTTGATCTCCAAAGGATCTGTTCCTTAGGTATCTACACATGAAACCTCTCTGTATACAGAATAAGCTTGGCGCAGCCTGCTGTAAGACAGCACTGCCATTGAAGTCTGGATGGTGGTACTGATGCCATTCTTTGGATATTTTATGACACTTTACTTCTATTCCATTAAAATGAGTAGAAATTAAAAGCATGGGTCTCACAAGTAATATATGAAAAGATGAAACTCATCAGGCATCCTTGCCATCAAGTCGGGGAAGATCTATGGCTTTAATCAGAGAAATGATGGGTCAGTGTTCAACTGAGCAGGGAAGAACTTAGTTAAAGAACACATCATGCACTAGAAAGCGTCTGGTACCATGTGTGAGAAGAAATCCTGTGACTCCAGTTTGGCCTCAGGCTCCCACATCCCATCTGACGCAGGAGAAAATCCACCAAGTCTCCTTCAGTCTCATTTCCATTTACTTACTTTGGTCCCTCACCATGGTGCACCTAGATTCAGCCCCCTAACTCGTTCTACCTACCTCATTAAAAGGGGGCTGGAATTGAGAACTTTAAAGTCAGGAACCGAGGAGGTTACTCTCTTCGTCTCTCAGGGACAGCGTGGTGTGTGGTCGCCTCTCTCTTCTTGTTTGCTCCATTCTCCTGCCTCTCTCTGCAGACCGACATTCTCTACTTCAGCATGCACATGGAGTAAGATGCTGTCCCAGCCCAGGCCTACCTTACCTCCCAGTTTAAATGCCTGACACGCAAGTGTCCTTTCATCGAAATTCTCAGTATGAAAGTGCATGCTACAGCCTGATTCCTTCTAGGGCAGTGGTTCTCAAACTCAGACGTGCAGAAGAGTTGCCTAGGGTGCTTATGAAACACGAAGCTACCTTTCCAGGTGGGATGACTCAGGAGGTCTGTGGTTCCCCAGGAAAGAAGCATTCCTACCACCACTCCAGGAGCTGTTCTTTGAGAACCACTGCTCTAAGGTATCCAGTCTGGTCCAATCACCCATGAATAAGGTACATGTGGGACACAGGGGCTTTAGAGGGAACAACTTTATGTGGGAGCAAGGAGTAAATGACCACCAACTCCATCTCAAAGGCCACAACCTCCACCCTCTGGTCTGTTGGCTGGCTTCTCTCAGATAATCTCAACATCCTGGGCTTACTTCTACCACATTAAGCTTAGCACTTACCACACTGCAGCAAAATCTCCTTGTCGTTGTCCATCCTTGAGAGATTTCCCCAAAAGTTTAGAAAGAGAGGAAATAATATCTAAGAGTTCAGTCTTACGACCAGCACAAAATGGCTCGAGACAAATAAAGCTACTTTAAAAGAGACAAAATGTCTTCCACAACAGTATGAAATTATTTGACTATATTCTAATAACAATAATTGGCTGATCTTATTTTTTTTAAGGGGAGGGAGTACTAAAAAGTAGGCCACAAAGCATGGTCCATCCAATCATCTACAGGATAGTGAACAACTCTCATCAGACCTAACTTGAAAGGAGTTTGGGGAGGGCAAGGATGTTAGATAAGGGGCTTGTGGTGTCTTGGCAACCCTAAGCAAGGGTTTCACTGTGACTACATGGCTGCACCAGGCTGTGTTACAAACCAGTGCTATGAAAGTTCACCCACATTCTCTTGGTTCTGATTCCACACTCATCAAGCAACATTCTCACTATGGCTGTGTTTCCCATGTAGGTCTGCCCACAGGGAGAGAATCTGCCGATCATACACACTGCTGAGTACCTGGGTCCCTGCTACTGTTGATCGCCTACCATGAATTAATAAACCAGAATTGTGGGAAAAAGAACATCCTGTTACAAGTCATGTTAGCATGGGTTTAAGTCTCTCGAGCTTAGTTAATGTGGATCTACCAACACGAGCTCTCAGGCAAAGGAGGTTTCCAAGTCTCCACAGGGTTAAGCACCATAATGGATATCCTGAGCATTCACTGAGGCCAGGAATACACCAACCCATCCCAAGGGCCCACCTGGTGATGTTAGCTTCTCCCCAAGCAGTATTCCACCACCACCTTAGCCACCTATTTTGGTAAACACATCCTTATTCTTCTTGTGATGGGAGTAGTTTCCACTCAGTAGACACTGAGGCCAGAGATTATGCCACTCACTTCTAGAGACTCCAAGCCTCGCATGATCCTGTCCTGGATCAGACCCAGCATCAGTGCTTGTTAACAAATAAACAGACAACCCCTGGCTATGTGCTTGCTTCCCTGTATCATGTGACTCACTGTGTCTGCTCTGAATCAGTCAGCAGGCCATGAACAGAGAAAGTGAGTCTTGTGGAGTCTCCCTCCTAGTACCTCTCAAATAATCTACCCACTTCGCTCCTCCCTGTGATATGACCACAAGCCAAGCCACCATCTCTCACCCAGGCCCAAGGTGGCCTCCTCACACCCACTGCGTCCACCCTCCCCTTCTGCACCCTGTAACCAGATGATCTTTTTAAAACCACAAATCTGATTATGATACTCCCATGGTTAAAAGGGCTTCCTGATGCACTTTAGGTCAAGCCCAGTTACTTACCACGATTACAAGTCTCTTCACAATGAAGCCGCAACTTACCTTCTTCCTACCTCAGTCAGATGCCACTTAATGATTCCCTTGCTCTAGGAATCCTGGATTTTCAGTTCCTCTCTCTCTGCATCTCTCAAGAACATCCCTGTCCCCTCTGCTGATACTACTCTCCCCATGACACACACCATTCACACTCCTTCAGGGCTCAGCTTTAACGTTCTTGACCATCTCAGGGAGGCCCCTATGTGGCCTCTCCAAGATTAAGTCGGCTGTTGCTAGCAGATGTTCTCTTGCAAAAGTATAAATCAAACAATTATGTTTTCCACAGCTTTAATTCCCAAATAGACTAAAAACTCTGTGAAAACACTTCTTTTCCCCCATGGGGGCTATGTCCCAGTACCTGGCACAAAGTACACACTTGGTCAATATTCACAGATGAGTGGATGAATCTCTCATGCTTCTTTAATCACCAGGTAAGAGAAAAAGAGTAGGCCTGAAGCAGTAGCTGAGTATGAGAAAAAGAGGGAGGATACTGAAATGGATGGTGTGAGGCCAAGGAGAATTTCTAGGGAATACAAAATCCACCAGAAGAGTCTGGGCATTCTCAGAGGGCACAAATGGTGCTGGGGTGGCTATGTGGAACACGTGTGCAGTAGGAAAGTGTCAGAGTAAGGAAGTGCGGTGGTCACTTCAAAGATAGATGTGGCACTGTGAGGAGGAAATTCAACTCACCTGGACCCAGCCACCTAGCGTTTGGACCTAGTCCCTCTTCCTCTCGCCAGTCGTCTCCAAGAAGGATGGAAGATCAAGAAGGCAAAGCTGTAGAGGAAAAGAAAATGTGATTCACCATGTTTATTTTGCAGTTGCTGGGTTCCTCAGGGGGGAACAATAGCACAACAGTTCCACATTTATCTTCTATGATGGCACAGGTCAAACGAGACCATAAATAGCATCCCATCCAGGATGAATGGCCATGGGTATAGCCCCCTTAGGCCATGTCACACCCTGGGATGTACTCATAGACTTTCTCCAACAAGGTTACATCAAAAGCATTCAAGTCAGTTTCTGGGGTGTCTTACAACCTTCCCTGTGGCTCTAGATTAAGGAATCAATTCAAGAACCCCATTTATGGCACTGGCCATCCCTATGTTAGGACTGCTATCCTATCATTATTATTAGGTAATGATACTCTTAATCATGTGAAATATTTTAGGGTTTATCAACATGCTCTCAGTGGACTAGTAGGACATAGTTCAAGTCCCACTGCACCTCAGAGTATGTGTTCAATCAATTAGAGGTCGCTGGGGGAAGGACCTTCATGATTACGGGGCTGGTTTATATTCCAAGAGTCAGGTGAGCATATTTTGGTGAGGTTAAAGAGCTTATTAAAAACTATTCAAAGGATGGGTGCAGTGACTCACGCCTGTAATCAGCACTTTGGGAGGCCAAGGTGGGCAGATCACCTGAGGTCAGGAGTTCGAGACCATCCTGGCCAACATGGTGAAACCCCTGCTCTACTAAAAATTTAAAATTAGCTGGGCAGGGTGGTGCGCGTCTGTATTCCCAGCTACTCAAGAGAGGTTGAGGTGGGAGAATCACTTGAACCCGGGAGGCAGAGGCTGCAGCAAGCCGAGATCGCGCTACCGCACTACTTGCCTGGGTGACAGGGCGAGACTTTGTCTGAAAAAAAAAAAAAAAAAGAAATGATGACAGGCTAGGAAGGAAGCGTCATATGTGTCACTTTCCCTACCTCAAATAAAACAAAAGGGCTGACTTCAGATCTCCTTGGGTGGAGCCAGGGCTAGGTAAGTGAGCTCTAGGACTTTGTAGGAGAGCTAGGGCTGGGAGGTCCCCACCCAAACTAAGCTTTGGAAGCTGTGCAGCCCTCTAGCGGCTCTGCTCATGAACAGTTTCTCCCAAGGACCCACCCTACCTTTGGGGCAGCCCCTTCAAACACACCCCCACCTGCCCAGGGCAGCCTCCTAGTTCCAAGGCACTGCCCCTCCTTCAGGACCACCTGCAGCCCTGAATTTTTCCAGCTCCACTTGTAGGATTTTGAGAGAAAATCCTTCACCACCAGAGTCTCCAAATCACCTAGACCCCAAATCTTACACCCACAGTGCACCTCCTCCATTTTCTCACTTAAAATCCCACCCTTCCCCAAATCTTTTAAAACTTCTGAGTTTGGCCTTGGACCTCACTGTCCCAAGGCTGCGCAGCTGAACTCGCCGGCTTCCCGAGGCCTGGCTTTGGCGCCCCCTGGAGGAACTACGGCGCCACCAGCCATGAAGGCGCGCTGCCCAAGATGGTAGGGGCAGGGCTCAGCTGGCACGCCAGTGCAGCCCGCGGTCACTCAGGAAGGCTCCCGCGCAGGCCCTACCCCTGAGCCGGCAAAGATGGCACAGAATGAATGAACTAGGCTCTACGGCCCCGCCTACCTTGAAATCCCCTCAGCCCCCTCCAACAGCCCTGCTGTCACTCAAGATGGCGCCTGCGCAGTACGCTTCTGCTGCCCCCGCCAACGTCCCACACACACGGTACTAGGGTGGGCGGGGCTCACGCCCACTCCTACAGCCAACACAGTTGTCATTCGAAAATGGCGCCTCTGCAGTGCACCCGTCACATTGAATGCAGGCTGCTCCATCAGACAAGACACACATGCTATGGCCCCCCTCAATCACTCAAGACAAAGCAGCTCCTCCCTCAGGCCCGCACCTGCAGCCAGCCTGTCATTCAGCATGGTACCTGCACAGTACACCTTGGCTGCCACCTAATGACCAGCCACGATGATGCCACAGGGTGGGCGGGGCCATGCAGCCCCCGGGTCACTCGTCTGCACCGGGCCCTACAGCCAACCCAGCAGTCATTCAAACCAGTGCCTGTGTAACTGCCCTCACGTGCCCCACTGTAGCCAAACACTGCGCCAGAGTGGACCAGGCTCGGCAGCTCCCAGTCACTGAGACAGCCCTCCCTCATGCCCGTCCTCGGGCCGACCCAGGTGTCACTCAAGATGGCGCCTGCGCAATCAACCTCGGGCGCCCCCCTGCGGCTAGCACAGACAGTACCGTGGAGGCGGCGGGGGCAGTGGAGGTAGGGGTGCTCTCCGCCCTATCAGTCCCGAAGAACGGTCCTGGGCCCCCGCCCCTAGCCCTGCCAGCAGGGCGCCTGCGCAACCCGCCACGCAGCTCCCCCGCCAAGCCGCCCCCAGACACAAAATGGAGCCACACACATCCTGAGGTGAACAAAGTCTTGGTCAGGCAACAAGAGGGGAAGGGGTGAGCCTCTGCCACCGTTAGCCAAGAACACAGCGAGCACGCTGACAACCGTCGCCGTGTCCTTGAGGACAAATGGCTCCGCGGCCGCTACGGCAAACTCTCTAGGCAGGTCTCCTGGCTCCCCCAGATGCGGGGACCGAGCCAGTCCCACTGGCAAAACAGCCCGGCGACCAGCACACACAACCCAACGGGCGTGGTACTCCACAGCTTTCCACCACCGCAGAGAAGGCAGCACAGCAGCCGCGGCCCCGCCCCTCCCTGTGGACAACCCCACACCTAGGCGGCAAACCGCAGCCACCCCCATCAACGATGGCGCCCGGGTGGGCGGGACTTGAGGAGACCATCACGCCCATGCCACCCGCAGCCGCTTCAGCCTTGCCCGGCCACATCTGCCGCCAATCAATCTGGGCAACACCTGCACAGCAAACCTCAGCTGCCCCCATCAAAGATGGTGCCCAGGCGGGCGGGCCTTGCCTCGCCCAACCAACCAGGACAGCGCCTGTGCAACAAATCTCAGGCGCTTCCATTAAAGATGGCGCCCAGGTGGGTGGGGCTTGAACAAACCACTAGGTCCAATGCCACCCTGTCACTTCAGCCTTGCCCCGCCCCATCTGCCACCAACCAATCAGAGCACCTGCGCAGTAAACCCCAGCAGCCCCCATCAAACATGGCACCTAGGTGGGCGGGGCCTGAGCAGATCTTCACATCCAATGCTACCCAGTCACTTCAGCCTTGCCCCGCCCCATGTGTCACTAACCAACCAGGGCGGCACCTGCGCAATAAACCTCAGCAGCCCCCATCAAACATGGCATCTAGGTGGGAGGGGCCTGAGATCATCACATCCAATGCTACCCAGTCACTTCAGCCTTGCCCCGCCCCATCTGCTACCAACCAACCAGGGCGGCGCCTGCACAGCAAACCTCATCAGCCCCCATCAAACATGGCACCTAAGTGGGCGGGGCCTGAGATCTTCACATCCAATGCTACCCAGTCACTTCAGCCTTGCCCCGCCCCATGTGCCACCAACCAACCAGGGCGGCGCCTGCGCGGCAAACCTCAACAGCCCCCATCAAACATGGCACCTAGGTGGGCGGAGCCTGAGATCGTCACATCCAATGTTATCCAGTCACTTCAGCCTTGTCCCACCCCATCTCCTACCAACCAACCAGCGCAGCGCCTGTGCAGCAAACCTCAACAGCCCCCATCAAACATGGCGTCCGAGAGAGTGGGGCCCGCAGCCCCCATCAAACATGGCGTCCAAGCGGGTGGGGCGTGCACAGATCGTCACATCCAATGCTACCCAGTCACTTCAACCTTGCCCCGCCCCATGTGCCACCAACCAACCAGGGCATCGCCTGCGCAGCAAACCTCAGCAGCCCTCATCAAACATGGCGCCCAACTGGGCGGGGCCTGAGCGGATCATTACATCTAACGCTACCCAGTCACTTCAGCCTTGCCCCGCCCCATTTGCTGCCAATCAACAGTTACAGCGCCTGCTCGGCAAACCTCAACCACCCTTATAAAAGATGGCACCCAGTGGGTGGGGCTGGAACAGACCATTACAGCCAATGCAACCCAGTCATTTCAGCTTTGCCTCGCCCCATCTGCCGCCAATCAACCAGAACAGCGCCTGCGCGGCAAATCTCAGCCACCCTCAGAAAAGATGTCACCCAGTGGGTGGGGCTTGAGCAGACGATTACATCCAACGCCACCCACAGTCACTTTAGCCTTGCCCCGCCCCATCTGCCGCCAACCAACCAGGGCAGCGCTTGCGCCGCAAGCTTCAGCCGCCCTCCTTTAAGATAGCGCCCGAGAGGGCGGGGAAAGAAAACCCCTTACAGGCAGGACAGCCCTCAGCCCCGCCACCTTGGCGGCCTTCGCCCCTCCCACCACCACTGCGGCAAACAGGCCCCGCCCCCAGAGGGTAGCCGGGCACGCCAGCGCCGTGAGGCCGATGGCAGCCCGCAGGAAGGGGCATTCTTGCAGCCCCCAGACCCAGTCCAGGCAGCCCAGGGCTCCCGAGAGCCGCACTCCACCGCGGCAACAGGGATGGCACTGGTGTCCACCTTGCTGGACTCGCCGTGACAGAGCCCCTGGCTGTCTGCCCTAATGCCCCCGGGATGCTGCGGTGGACCCCGGCCAGTCCGGAAGGAGCGGAGGACCCGCAGCAGCCCCTTAGACCCCGGCCCGCAAGATGGCGGCACCAACGCAGCAGCCCAGGCTGCGCCCACCCCTGCCCCAAAAACGCACCAACCATCCACAGCCCGGCCGCCACTGTGCCCACTCCCGGACTGGGCAGTGGGCGGCCATGTACCAGGTCCGCCGGACCGCCCTGCCACAAGGGTCGCTGGCTTGCCGCGGGGATCTTGGGCTTGCGGCAAGACGGCCACTCCGGCACAGCACCGTCGTTACACCAAGGTCCGGCGGACAGGAGGTGCACCGGGCGGCCGAGGGCGCACTCACCTCACCTCAGTGCAGCGCAGCCTCGGGCGCGAACAGCCGCCTAGCGCACCCACATGGCGCCTGGCGCCCGGCGGCGCCACCAGCCCAGGGTGGACATCTCTCGCGCCTCCCAAACCTCTCCACCCGCAGCTCCCAGGCTTCTGCACCGAGGTGCCGCTCGACGCCTCCTTGTCAGGGCTTCTCTGCAGAGGCGGGGCTTCTGTGCTAGCCAATCAGCAGCCTCACCGCCCTCTCCGGGCCCCCTCACCACGGCCCTGTGATGTGCCAATCAGGCTGCGGTTGCCACAGCAACGGCTTGGCGCGAAGGCTGGGGGCTGACGTCAGGGAGTGGCCGTGAGAGACCCCAAAGCTGGGTCTGGAAAAGGGGGGTGGGTTGGGTGGTGGGGGTGCAGCCCCCAAACAAAGAAATGGGGGTCGAAATGGAGGAAACCCTACTGAGATGCTCAAATGTAAAACCGCCGGAGAATAAAGGGACAAATGTACACAACTGTCTAAATGAAAAAAATGAAAATCCTGCCGCAAAAACATATACATTAACGTCTAAAGACCAACAGGGAAGACAAGACTTCTCCGCCTGGGACACATGAAAGACACCGAGCTAATTTCCTTAATAAATGAAGAGCTCTTGGAAACCAACGAGATAAAGACTAAACCAAGCCAGAAAAATGGGCAAAGGGGACAAAACTGGCAATTCGCAAGAAAATCCAAACGGCTGGCCGATCTGCGAAGGAAACATCACGACCTATTTGCATAAAGAAATGCAAACCTGAAACACCGGGCACGTGCGGTTTGTGGGAGCGGGCAGTCTCACACACTGCTGACTTGTTTCCCATCAGCCGTCAATACAGACCTTCCACTGCGTGAGCCCACTACATTGCCATTTAGTAAAACAGCGAGAAAATGAGAGATAAAAATAATGAGGTAGAGTTGGATGGGATTATTAAGGACCGAATGCTCAATAGATTTAGTGAAATATACAAGTTACTGAAGTTTGTAGAAACGAACTGGTAAGTAAGTGTTTTCTCATATATTTGTTTTTTAAGGATAAACCCAACTACAGGTAAAACTGCTGGAAGGGTAGGCAAGAAATTGTTAATGGGTTACTTCTAGGGACAAGGAATGTGGGGTGGAAGAGGGATTCTTCCCTTCTGCCATCGATACTGTGAATTTCCTTGGCAGAAATACTTATCTCTTCTCTGGCAGTAAAATCAATGAATTACTAAAAGTTCACTAATATACTCTTTGGTCCAACTATTCCACTTTCAAGGAACTAAAAAAGCAAAGGAAATACAGAGATATACAGAAGATTCTATACAGAGATATTCACGGAGCATCATTTTTACCACCAAAACTGTGCTCCATAGAAAAGAATTAAACTGTATTCTGGTAAATTTACATACAGCGATTTTAAGTGGCTAATAAAAATGCTGTATGATTTTAACTTTAAAGGAAAAAATCTGCAAGATGTGGTTAATTACCAAAAGCTGTTTACCTAAGGAGCACACAGACTTTAATACCCCAAATTAAACTTTGATTATACTCAAGGAGTTATCAGTGATTGCTTGCTACACTGAGAAGCTGCTTTACGTGTTTTAGATTCCCTAGACCATCAACAGTCTCTTTTCGCCCGGCAGTGCAACATAAACATAATATACGAATGAAAACACTGTGCTTATGAAAATACACATTCAAAACAAGTTCCCAGCAGGAAGACTGAAAGTGACTGTGGCAGTACCCTGACTTAGGTTAGAGATTTTCAAATCTGGCTCACCTGGAGAGCCGTTAAACAATGCGGATTCCCAGTGTCCCACAGAGATCTTTGTTTTTCAGGTTCCCAAGGGATCCTAATGTCTGGTTTAGGTTTTGCAGGTGATTTTAACATATTTTAAGGATTCCGTCATCCCCCTCTCTCCTCAAAGGCCTCTATCTGCAATACCAGTTTCTCTCTGGATCCTGAATCGTTAATTTCCACCAGACACCACATGCTCTCAGAGCTCCTGCAGTTACCACTCCTTTGCTCAGCACCTCTTGGCCCTGAAAATGCCTCCTGATACAGCAGTCTACTGTCGCTGACTCAAAGGTCTTACCATACATTCTCCCCTGCTAACATATATGCCCCAAAGTCTTCCATCCCTTCCAAACCCACTGAAATTGCTTGACAAATTTCAGCAATTCCTTATGTGACCAAGAAACTTGCTCTTAATCTCACTTTATCTCTCAGTAATACTCAACATCCTCATTAAAACAAGCAAACAAAAACAAAATCGCACGCTATCTTCTCTTATTTTTGGTGACAATTACATGGTCCTGGTTTCCGCCCCCCTATCAGTGGTCTCTTCTCAGTCATAAATGGCTTCTGCTCTGCTCACCATCTATACACCGGAGGGTCTTGCCTCAGAACTTAGTCACTAGTCTTCTCCATCAATGTCCACTCCCTAGGTAATAACCCTTCCCTCCTCACCTAGTCACATAATTTAAATGCCACCTGCATACCAATGGTTCCCAAATTCCAATCCTCTGTCACAGGACGGTCCACAAAAGTGCAGTCTTTTGCTTGGAAACTGACTGATCCCCTTGGATGTCTATCAGGTAACTCAAAGCATTTCAAATATTAATTTCCCCTTTCCCCATTTCTATAAACAGTACCAGTTGCTGAAGCCAAAAACAAAAACCAACAAAACAAAAAACAAACAAACAAAAAAGCCTCACGATTGTTCTCGTTCCTTTTTTCCTTACCACCAGCATCCAATTTATCAGCAAGTCTTGCTGACCCTATCTAAGGCAAATCCCAAATTTGTCCCATGATTTCCCTTTCCATGGTAGTCCTAAGGAACATTATCTTCCTACAAAAACCCTTCTTCCATTCCAAACCCTTCCTCCAGTATTAAGGGTGATCTTGCAAAGCAAAAAAGATGTCATGTTTCAGCTTGAATGACCTCCTGCCCCCCATCCCAACTGCATTTAAAGTCCAAAAGCCCAAAATTAGAAGAGCCAACATTATCTTTTGTCTTAGAGGAAAATTAAATATAGGTGCTGTAAAATTTCACAATCTTTTCCTTCAATGCCTAATTTAAGAAATTCTTCCCCACACTGATGTCATAAAGATACTCAAATAGCTGTGCATTTTAGTTTTCTTTATGGTTATTTTTGCCTATGTTCTGTGTTAGGGATCTAATTTTCCCCTGACTTTGTATCATATTTCTGTATATGAGCAGGTCTGTGCTTGAACTCTCTATCTCTGTGCATTAAGGCACCATATTATTACAGCTTTACAGTATCTCGGTATCTGAAAGGGTGACTGCCCTGCCTTGTTTTTCAAAGTGTCTGGCCCTACCTTGTCTTTCAAAATTATCCGACTCTTAGCCCACCATCTTTCAAATGATTTTTAGAAGCAGCTTTTAAAGTCTGATGAACTATCCTATTGAGATTCTGACATTTTATTAAATCCACACAGCAATTTAGAGAAACTGAAAACATTATATCAAGATCTCTCATCTTTGACCATCCTCTATATCAGTATTTACTCGTATCTCTTATGGCCATCAACGATACACTGTAATTTTTTTTCCTATAAAGGCCTTATTTGACTTTAGGAGGTCCTTTTTTCCCCCTATTAATTGTATAACTGGTTATTTAATAGTTTCAGAATTACAAAAAAGTTGCAAAGATAGTACAAAACCTCCCCACCCCATTTTCCCTGATGTTAATACCTTCCGTAACCTTGCTACTTTGTCAAAAAGAAGAGATAATTAGCAGAAAACAAACTACAGACTTTATTTTGATTTCACCCATTTTTCCATTACTATCTTCCTTCTGTTCCAGGATCTCAGTCTGGACACAGCATTACACTTAGTGATTAAATCTCCCTAGGCTCCCCAAGGCTGTGACAGCTTCTCAGTATTTTGTAGAATACTCAGTTTGTTTGATATTTTCTCACAACTTGATTTGGGTTATGAATTTTTGAGAAGAGTATCTGCTATTGCCTTTTTTTTTTTTTTTTTTTGAGACACAGTCCCGCTCTGTCGCCCAAGCTAGCAATGCAATGGCTCAATCTCAGCTCACTGCAACCTCCACCTCCCGGGTTCAAACAATTCTCCTGCCTCAGCCTCCTGAGTAACTGGGATTACAGGCATGTGCCATCATGCTCGGCTAATTTTTGTATTTTTAGTAGAGACAGAGTTTCACCATGTTGGCCAGGCTGGTCTCGAACTCCTGACCTTGTGATCAGCCTACCCTGCCCTCCCAAAGTGCTGGGATTACATGCATAAGCCACCGCACCTGGCCTGCTATTGCTTTTTATATGCTGACTTTGGATCCAGTGAACTTGTTGACTTTTTTTTTTTCTACAGAAAAAAATGTTCCTATATCTTTAAAATATTAACATGCTAATTAATGACTTCATTTTTACTTTCATTGACAATCGTATCTCACTTCATTAACATAATGCATTGGCTAGGACTTCTGGGGTGATATTGAACAAGTCTTGTCCTCTATTTGAAAGGGGATACTCATCTTTACTAAGAAGTAAAAACGTTCATTGCAAACTTGTTTTGTACAGTCTCTTTATTGGGGGTTAAGGAAATTCCCTTAAGTTCTAGGTTTTAAAATTTTTATCATAAGTTTAATTTTATATAATGACTTCTCTGCATCCACTGGGAAGATTATATTATTTAACATCATCTGATGATGTGGTGAATAAAGCAGGTTTTATGTTGAAAACTGTATTCCTAAACCCTGCTTGATCTTGATTATGAGGATCTGATTCATACACACATGCAGCTGGGTACTACTGAGTTACACTTTTCCATCACACTATCCTTGTCTGGTTTTGCTACCAAGGTTATAACAGCCTTATAGAATGATTTGGATTGCTATCCTACTTCTCTACCATAGTTTATAATCTCCTCTCCATTGAGAATTATGCCCCTTTTTCTATTACTAATATTATTAATCTATCCATGGTTTCTCCATCAGTTTTGCTAAAGATTTGCCAGTTCTGTCTTTTGAAAATGACTTGATTTTGTTGACTATATTCTTCCTTCTTTTCCATGTAATTAATTTCTGTTCTTTTTCTAGTTCTTTCTTGTTCAGTTCTGTATTTCACTGTTTCCGTTTCCAGTAGATTTC